ACGCTGAGATGACTGGAAGAGGTAAAGTCTTCTTTGGCCCTTGAGGCAGGATAGTAAGAAGCTAGGAAAATTCCTGGGCCAGGGGAATGGGGAAACAGAGACAAGAAAATAAAACAAGGCCATATATTTTGAGCAACTTACAGCCGACTGGTGAATTGCAAGAACTTACCTCCCCTAACCAAGGACACTTGAGAGCGAAAGGTTTAAGCCTCTCCTCCCTCACCAAAGAATACCTAGCTTAAATCTCCCTCATCTGGGACGTAGAGAACAGAGGCCCAATTAATGTCATTTGTGCCAGCTAAACCCAAGGACAGATGGAGTCAGGAGAACAAATAACAAAAACCCCATTAAAAGCCAGACAGTCTCAAGATAAAAGTAAAATAGTGTAGAAGACCAAAGAATATTCCCAACCACCCCACCCCCACCCCAGTGCCCTCATTTTGACACATCAGCATGTTAAAGTTGTACCTGGAAAGCTGATGGAAATACAAAAAGCCCTCAGGGCAAAGACACACCACAGGCTCCCTCTGGAGCACGCCCCTGCCCCTTCTCAGGCATGAACTTTTTGTCTCCTCCTAAACCCCAAGGGTCCCAAGGAGACTTGCAGCCAGGGCAGCCGTGGGCAGTGGCAGCTCGACCCGGGCTTACCCCCGACCCTGTCTCCAGGGCCCCCTTTTCTCTGACTTCCAGGTGGCCTGTCCCTTCCCTATAACCTTTCTAGGGAGCCTCCGCAGCCCCGCCCAGGCTCTCTCCGACTACTGCTTCCACCCTACGTCCTCCATCCCTGTGACCTTCACTTCCCAGTGAGCCGACAGCAGCCCCGCCTAGACTCACTTCTTTCCCATAACTTTTCTAGGGAGCCGCCGCAGCCCTGCCCAGGCTCTCTCCCATTACTCCTTCCACCCTACGCCTTTCCCTTGTTTCACCGTCCCCAGCCTTAATAAACACACTCTCAAAATCACCTGGACTCGTGTTGTGAAATCTTTCCCACACACAGTCAGGAACCCACACCCGACAGGCCGGCCTGAGGCTGCCCCGCTCCGGGCTGGTGCCTGTCTGGAAACACCCTGGTCCTTCTGCCCACTGCCCTGACTTTCTCCTTCCCTGGCAAGGTGCAGCTGCACCTCCTCTGCCCACTGTCCTCTAGCTTCTGTCCCCACCACTCTGCTGAATCATGCTGGCAGAAGTCACCAAGGACCTCAGCGGGCCTCTCTGTAGGTGGGTTGCCCACCGGGTTTCCAGTGTTCTCCTCCACAAGCAACTCTTTCTTGCCGGCTTCCTAAAATCTCAGCGCCCGCCAGACCTCTGCCTGGACCCTCTTCTCTTCTCACTCAGCACAGTCTCCCAAGGCCGCCTCATCCACTCTAGTGGCTCCCACCAACCCCTCGGGGCTGAGCAGTCCAGCCATTGCTGCCATCTACTGGCTGTGGACAGTCCATGTGGCCATCCACCACACCCTCCCATGCAGCACATGAGACACTGAACTCACTAACTCCCAAACATCTGGGAGGAACCTATGCATCACCTCCCCCCTCCCTCAGAAACCTACTTCTTCTCTGTAGTCCTTACTACACCCACCACCTACCAGTTCACCCATAGAGCAACCTGGGAACCATCCTGGGTGTCCTCCTACCACCCCCCACACCCCTGCATCCAGTCAGGCCCCAAACACCACCAGTTGTAGTTAGCAACTGTTCCAAAACCATCCCTCTGGCTCGCTTTCTGCCTAAATCATGGCAGTAAGCTCCCCTCTCAAACAGAGGGAGCTTTCTAAATATACAGTGATCCTCATTCATGGCTTCCATATCAGTGTGTTTACACACTCACCGAAACGTATTTGCCTAGCCCCTAAACCCATCGCCACGGTGCTCTCCCAGCCATTCATGGACATGCACAGCACAGCGAGAAACTCGAGTCACCTGACCTGCAAGTTCCCAGCTAAGGATGAACAAGATGACACTGCACCTTCTTGTCTCAGCTCTTCTACTGTAAACAAACGTTCTATTCCAGGTCGACTTTTTGGCTACTTTTTCACCTTTTTGCGCCTTTGGAATGTGGCATTGCAGTTTAACCCGGCCCCCGAGCACAGTGCGGCAGTCCTGTCTGGCGGGTCTCCGTGCAGGAAGGCTGTGATGCGCCTCAGGGAGAAGATGCGCACGCATGGGATGAGCTTGGTTCAGGTGTGAGTCACAGTGCTGTCGGCCGTGAGTTCGGGGTTAATGACCCAACAGGACACTGTATATTACAGAAGGTGTCGTGACATAGAAACACACATAAAACAAGGTTGTGTCATGTTCCTTTGATGAAAGTGTTCCAACCAGAGGCTCGTAAGAACCTAACCCTGTATTTCTCCCACGGGCAAAGCTTCAGGATTTCCTAATTCAGTGCTTGTCATGACTTTACACAAGCTAACTACCATGAATAATGGAATCGACTGCACCAGTCTGACTGTTCCCCCAGGCCTCTCTCTGCACACGAGATAAATCCAAACTCCTTAGCATAGATTTCCAGGTCTTCATGGTTGAGAAGGTCCTTGCTCACCTCCCAGGTGCCTTGCCTTTTGGTGCCCCCACTACTCCCCAGCCAGCCCCACTCGAAAGCTCTTTGACTGGCTTTCACAGAGGCCCTCTGCACACCTGTGCCCTCTGCCGCAAAGGCCTCTCCTCCTCTCCTCCTCTTGGTGATCGCCTACATAGCCTTCAAGACACAGCTTCAATGTCACCTTGTCTGGGCCTCCCTCCCGCAGACCTTGACAATCCCTTCTGTGCTATAGGTCCCTTATAGCACTCCTCACAATGCTGTGCCTGACCCATTCCTGTGCCTCCTCTCTCCTGTACTTGGCAACAGTTTTTTGGGAAGAATGTGGAAGGGGGATAGATGTGTGTGACTCTCCTTGTAGGGTGTATGCATTTCATACATATTTCATTCAGTAAACACAGATGGAGACCTAGCTTGCTACCAGGCACTCTTTGAGGTACCAGGGGCACAGCAGTGAACAGAACAAAGCACTGTCCCCCATGCATGCAACACCGTGCCCATAGCATGGCCTGTGTCTAGGAGGAGTGTGCACATGTGGGACTATTGCACTTGTTGTGGACCTGCAGTGTTTGTGGCTCTTAGATGCACTGTGCATTGAATTCTGGCCCCATGCAACCTGCAGATAAAGGGCATCTGAGAGTTCATTAGGCCAACAGGCTGTGTCTGTGCATTAACCCTCCCCAGGCACCCCCTGCCTGCCCTCCCCAGCTCTCCAACAGTCAACGTCTGGCCTGGGTTTTGCCTTTTTAACCCAAAGCAGCACCCATCCACATGAGATTTTCTCTGGTGAATACATCTGTCTCCCTCTCCTTTCTCTGCCACCCTACATCTCAGTGAGAAGAGGCATAGGACTAGGGAAATGGGGAGAAAGTCGGGTTTCGTGGGTACCCACTGTGTATCAGGTGTGTGTGGACAGTGTACATGCATCAGAGGCAGTGGTAGGAAGGCCTTCCTCTGTGCCAGGCACTGCCTTCACACGGTTCCTCTGCTGGCTGAGGCAATAAGGGTGCCAACCCCATGAGGTTGCACCACATCATACTCTGTGTCTTCTCAGGACACCCCTCACAGCACAACAGGTCTCATCCACAGCAGAGAAATGGAGACTGCCCAGATCTAAAAGGAACAGAGGCAAGATTCAAATCCAGCAGAATGAGACTCTAGATGCAGGGGTGTGGAGCCCAAATGCAGAAGTCCCTTGCCTTAAGGAAGTCCCCTAAAATGCCATCTGCGTCAAACAGGAGGCCCCTTCTCTGGGCAAGACGTGTGGTCCAGCCTCTTCCCTCTGGAGCTCACCTTCAAGGCCTTTCTTGCTTTATCAGTGTGTCTTCACACCTCTCATCTGTGTACCTGGGGGACCCTGCCCAGCCTCTTCTGTTCCTCTCTTTATCTGTGTAGCCCGGAACCAAACACAGCACCTGGCACACAGCAGCATCCCAGCAATGATTCTTGAATGTAAAATAAGGGTTAGTGGAAAGACCGATGTATGTGCTGTGGGAAATAAGGAGCAGCCCTGTAGGGGGGAAGGGTGCTCATACATGCAGGGTTTGGAGAGGAGCTTGGTGTGTGTATTTTGGGGAGAGGTGGGGCCGTGTATGCAGGGGAGAGGGTAGCTCTCTCTGCCACTCACCACACATTTGGTTTTGGGATGCAAAGTCTGAACCAGATCCCAGTGGCAATAGGATGGTGGCGAATGGGGAGGCTGCTCCATGACCTCTTTGCCATCATGAGAGGCTGTGCAACTGGTACTAGACTTATTAGCTGGTAATCAAGACTATGTTGGTGAGTGCCTGGGGGCCAGGGTCTGATCCACTTTGTGCTCATAGCAATCCCCTAAAAGGTCTATTGGTGTGGATTGACATGTTCATTCAACAGAAGGGTCCTACCTGGAGCAAGCTCAGTTCAGATCAGCTATTCCAATACAATCTGACAATGATGTGGAAGCCCAGAGATGGGGCCCCAAGCCATCTGGAGTGGCACAGTCAGGGACGGCTTCTTGGAGGAGTAGACTAAGTGAGGAGAAAGGTAAGAGAAAGCCATTCAAGTGGGGGCAATTGATGGAGCAAAGGCATTTAGGCTGGAGATAGAGTTTGGGAGTCTCAGCATTTCCAAAGGTAACAGAAGCCATGGGAATGAAAGGCCACTGAGAAGGGACCAGAGAGAGAGGAGAGCCTAGAGAACAGAGTCCCCAGAGGTAGCAGTGGGGAGTTTCTGGAATTTCAGGAATTGGGGTTCCTCCCACACAAGGCCAGGGATGAGAGGACAAGCAGGGGGCCAGGGTGGACCTGTGGTTCCTCCCTGAGAGGATGTCAGGATTCTGGGCTCAGCACCCCTGCAAGGAGGGAACTCCTAAGCTTCCTGGGCCACATCAGAGGCAGTCTGGGAAGGCTGGGGCCCAGCCAATGGCCGTACTGGGTGCAGCTCCTCCTCTTCCTAGGCCAGCGACACACCCAGGCTGAGACTCGCTCACAGGCTCTGTCCCAGGAACAGGCTTCTCCAAACACCCTCTCTGGTTCTGACATGAGTTCCAGGTGCCTGCTGAGACCACTGCCGGCTGTTGGGAGCCAGTACCCGGAGAGCCCTGAGGAGTAGCCACTCAGGTAAGGTCATCTATATCCAAATGTACTCTATCCCTAGGTACACCTGAGAGAGGGAAACTTCTCTGGTGGGAAGTGGAAGGAGGAGGCTTGGACGCATCCACCACCTGATGGTGGAAGAGTAAAGGGCTCTTCCTGCCTCTGCTCTGAGTTTTTCCCACTCTCCCCAACTGAGCAGAGGTGGAAGCCAGGGGCTGAGGACAGGCATTCACAGGGGAACGCAGAGCTGGGCAGGCAAGCGAGCGGGCAGGTGAGCGGGGCAGGCGGAGCTGCTCTGCCTGGGCCTGTTCAGCCCTACCCTGCCCCACCCCAGGTGGGCTGGGCCTAGACTCCTGGGAGCTTAGGGCTGGAGCCTCCCTGATTGTTCCCTGAGAAGCTGCCAGGAATCCACCCACTTTAGGCAGGACTGAGCAAAGACAAGCTGATGATTCAGAGCTGGGCTCCCACATCCAAGTGAAGGGTATTGTAGACAGAACCATGAGGAGATAGGGTAGGGAGAAGAGACAACCTAGCCTCCCTCAGCCAGGACCCACCTGGTATAAGAGGGAGTGGGCACAGAACAGGCACCCAGGAAGCTTTCCAGGAAAGGGGCCCAGGCCCAGCATGTGGGTTCTGGAGCCAGCCTGCCTGAGTTCAAATCCCACCTCTGCTACTTACCAGTTGTATAACAGTGAGCAAATTAATTAACCCCTTTGCGTTCCACTTTTCTCACCTGTAAATTAGGAATAAAAAATATCACACACTTTCCTATAGTTGTTGCTGTATTGATTCATGCAAAGTGCTCAGAACAGTGCCTGGCGCTGCATAGACATCCAACAAATATTGGCTCTTTCCTCTGCCCTGCTCAGCTGCTACAGGGAGTCAGGACAGCATGTTACCTTCAGTCTGGACCAAAGTCGGAAGGGCATCAGGAACACCTTAAAGCAAAATGTGCAGAGAGACTCCCTGAGATCCTGGGGGCCCCGTAAGGTGGGACTGGTGAATGGGTTCCCCCAAGAACCAGCCAGAGGAATTCCGAGAGAGGAAGTGGGCACCCCTCACTCTGAACAGCAGTCACGTTTCTTAAATGGAGGTAAATCTGATCCCTGTGTATCTAGCACACCAAACTCACTCAGCAGCAGAAGAAACGAAAGCAGCGTTTCCCATCTTAGTGTCTTGACAAGGCCGTTCCACACGATGATGACGATGGGTTCTGTGGCCAAAGGAGTTTGGACAATGCTACATATTCTGTCCCCCTTTCAGAGATTCACAAGGAAAAGTCGTCAGCATGGTCAAGTAAAGGGACCTATTTACCTTTGCAAACGCAATGTTTGCCTACCTTTTTCAAACACAGATTCCTTTTCTCTCACTACGGTAGCCAGCCTATGGAACAGGATTCCATAGAACACCAATTTGGGAAACACTGTATTACCAGATTATGCTAGGAAGTTCATTGTAGAAAAAGAACCATTGGCCACTATATTATCTTTCAGCTGGATTGCCATTGGCCTTGCTTCAAGTGAGTTGCACACGAGCAGAACACTGCCTGGATAATTTAACTGAGTGTTAGACCAGGTGGGAGGTTGGGGATAAGTTTCCAACCTCTCCAACCTCATCCTCCAAGTCAAGAAAAAGGAAAAGAGCAGGTTCTTCTTGGGAGAAGCTGTCTAGAGGGAAAGAGCAGTGCGCAGAAAGGAGAGAAGTCTTCCCAGGGCTCAGCCCCCTGAAGAGGAGGGCCAGGGTTGAAACAGAGGCAGAAGGCAGGATGTTCAACCTCCTTATGGCTTCGTTCTGCAGGACTGCAACCCCAGGGCCCTGGGAGGAATGAGTTGTCCCTGGCCCCACCTTCACCCACTTTATGGGTAAGAGTTGGGTTCCAGACTTAACTACTTAGGCTCAAATTCCAGCTCTGCACATAATAGTTGTGTAAACTTGTAAAACCCCTGTACACCTCAGTTTCCTCCATCTGTAAAATGGGTCAACAACAGAACCAAGCTCCTCTGTAGCTGTGAGGATCAGATATGATGACATGTTTCTGTAAAATGTTGAGTGAGTACTCTATAAATGTAGGACATTATTATCATTCCCCTGCAGCAGCAGCAGCAGCCAACGCCTGGGTCCACCATGAACTGGGGGATCTTCGAGGGGCTCCTAAGCGGGGTCAACAAGTACTCCACAGCCTTCGGGCGCATCTGGCTATCTCTGGTCTTTATCTTCCGAGTGCTGGTGTACCTGGTGACAGCTGAGCGTGTGTGGAGTGACGATCACAAGGATTTTGACTGTAACACCCGCCAGCCAGGCTGCTCCAACGTCTGCTTCGATGAGTTCTTCCCCGTGTCCCATGTGCGCCTCTGGGCCCTGCAGCTCATCCTGGTCACGTGCCCCTCGCTGCTGGTGGTCATGCACGTGGCTTACCGGGAGGCACGGGAGAAGAAGCACCAAGAGGCAGAGGGGGAGGGTTGTGGGCGCCTCTACCTGAACCCCGGCAAGAAGCGGGGTGGGCTCTGGTGGACGTACGTCTGCAGCCTGGTGTTCAAGGCCGGCGTAGACGTCATCTTCCTGTATGTGTTCCACTTGTTCTACCCCAAATACACCCTCCCCCCCGTGGTCAAGTGCCACGCGGCTCCGTGTCCCAACACGGTGGACTGCTTCATCTCCAAGCCCTCAGAGAAGAACATCTTCACTCTCTTTATGGTCATCACGGCTGCCATTTGCATCCTGCTCAACCTCGTGGAGCTGGCTTACCTGGTGAGCAAGAGGTGCCGTGAGTGCCTGGCAGCGAGGAAAGCCAGGGCCACCAGCTCCAATTCCTGCAAACAAAACGACCTCCTCTCAGGCGACCTCATTTTCCTGGGCTCAGACACTCACCCTCCTCTCTTACCAGGCTGCCCTCAAAACTACGTGAAGAAAACCATCCTGTGAGGGGCTGCCTGCACTGGGCAGACGGGGCAGGCCTGGGTTGGGAGGGCCCGGCGTCCCTCGTGGTTACAGCCTTAGGGGTAGGAGGCTCCTGCCACCTGCCCCAGCTGTGTGGCCTTGGGCACCTCAGTGTGCTTTTGTATAAAATGTAAATGGTGAGGCCTACCTCATAGGTTTGTTGCTATGAGAAGGAGTTTAATTAGAGAACAGACGTGCAAGCAAGCAACTTCAATGTGTGGGACCCACAGTCAGAGCTTAATAAAAACCAACTCCTCCAGCCCTGGCTGGTGTGGCTCAGTTTGTTGGAGTGTTGTCCCACATCTGAAGGGTTTGATTCCCAGTCAGGGCACATACCTAGGTTGTGGGTTTGATCCCCAGTCCCAGTGCATATGATCCCTGGTCCAGACGAACATGGGAGAAAACCAATCAATGCTTATCTCTTGCACTGATGTTTCTCTCTCTCCCTCCCTTCTGCCCTCTCTCTCTAAGAGCAATGAAAAAATATTCTCAGACTCTGGCTTGTGTGGCTTAGTGGATTGAGTGCCAACCTGAAAACCAAAATATTGCCAGTTCAATTCCCAGGTAGGGCACATGCCTGGATGGGAGGGGCACATGGCTGGGCCCCCAGTTGGAGGGGTGCAAGAGGCAACCAATCAATGTATCTGTAGCACATTGGTGTTTCTCTCCCTCTTTCTCCCTGCCATCCCCTCTCTCTAAATAAATAAGCCCATTTTTAAAAAATGTTCTCAGGTGAGGATTAAAAAAAAAAGTTGACTCCTCCACTGATTCATGGCGTCCTTTGGTCCTTTGGCTTTTGAGACCCTTATCAGGTCATTGGGTCACTCTCTCTGCCCCTGCAGAGAATTGTACTTGGTCCAGCCAGGTAAGGGGCCTTCCTCTCCTCCAGAAAGGGTCCCCAGCACTCCTGGAGTCATGCTGCTTTTTCATGCCTTTATCACCAGTTGTAATTTTAGGCCTATGGGTTGTCTGCAAAAAGAATGGATCTTAGTAATGGGAAGTGGCATTCAGCAATAGAAAGTCCATGAACTTTGAGTCAGAACCCTTGCATTCAAGCCCAAGTTTCTCTGGGTCTCTGGGAAAGTGACGTCAGCCCCTCTCTAAAATGGGTTAATACTACTGAGTCTGTGGGGTTGTAGCAAGGACCCAGTGAGTTCATGAGGTTGTGGATGGGGTTAGCCGTCTGTGAAAGGCCACATAAATGTTAATCACTGGTATTAGGAAGTGCTAGAGAAATGCTTGTGGGAAATGAGGAAGAGGAGCCCCTCCCTGGCTACACATTAACCTTCACTGCCCCAAGGCCCCTTGGCAGCACCCCCTGCTTCACACTCCGACTTCCCTGGAGGCCTGCCCCGGAGCACCAGGCCCATGGGGATGAACATGAGGCTGTGCCTGGTCCCCTGACACCTGGGGCATTTCATGCTGCCAACCTTGTCTCCACCAGGGCAGTGGGGTTCCTTTGTCCAGAAGAACCAAGTCTTCTTGGTCCCATCCCCTCCCATCCCCTATACAGCTCACCAGCAGCCCAAGCTTGAGTCCCTGGAGATGTCCCCACAAGGTGGGTGTGACCCTGGGCTGAATCAAGATTGCACCTTTCCATAAATGTCAGCCGCTGAGGGCTTCAGAACCAGGCTTTCAGAGAAATGGGCAGGAGAGAGGCCTGGACAGTGGGACAGAGGGCAAAGGTGACGGGAAGGGGACAGGGTCAATGCCATTGTTGTTGACCTGGGCCTGGGGAATGAGGATTCCAGGCTTTTGCCCCCCTCACTGCAGTTTCACCCACATACCTGCCAGACCAGGGGGCCAGACCTGGCCATGCCCAGCCAGCCTGAAGAGAAGGCGTAGGCCAGGAGAGAAGAGCCTCGGGTGTTTGCTCTGAATATGTGCCCGGGGAAGTCCGCCCGCCAGCCTGCCCAACTGCTCACTCTCCCTGGCTCATTGGCTCATAAAGCCCCACCCAGCAGGGAAGTAAAGAACAAAAGCTGCCTTTGGGAGGCCCTCAAACAGACGGACCAGACCAGGGACCAGAGAGGGGCTGCTGGACCGAAGACAGGTAAGGATCAAATTGGGCACGAGGCTGGGCTGGGAAGCAGGTACCAGGGAGGCTGAGAATCCCCACTGCGGATCACTGGGAAAAACCCGGGGAAGTCCTGAAGAGGGAAAGGAAAGTCCTTCCAGACTGAAGGGAGGACGGAGGACCAGAGGACAGACAGAAAGAGGGAGAGTCAGGAGATGTGAGGTTTCGACTTGGTCTAGCAAACGTCTACGGCGTGTTCTCTGGGCCACGCCCAGGGCTGAGTGCCGGAGAAATAGAGGTGATGAGAGAAGAGGGCTGCCCTCCAGAAGCCAGCAGTCTGGCACAGAAGCCAGGTAAACAGACAACTGGAATATCAATGATGCATGAAAGATGGAAGAAGTTGCTCAGAAAACTGTCCCAAGGGCATGAGGTCTGAAGATGCTGGGATCTGAGTCAGGGACAGAGGAGGGGCCAGGGTCAGCGATGGCACAGGAAGGCTCTCCAGGCAGGGGGTGTGGTGGGTAGAGCACACAGCCCAGGGGCCTGAATGGAAATGATAGACCTGGCCCTTCCTCTGTCGGAGGAGAAGGGGATGCCCCTGAGAGAAAAGGTAAATGGGTGGAGGACCCTGCCAGAGCCGGAATTCTGCCTCTGTCACTGCGCCAGTCCCTCCCTAAAGGCAGAATGTTTGGAATTCCAGAGGAACCCACTGTGGTCAGGACAGTAAGTGACCGTAACCAGCACCCATGGCAGGGGGGTGTCGCTGGGGTGGGTGGAGGGGCACAGGCAGGAAGATACCAGCCACCGTGGTACCAAAGAGAGAGCCTGTCTGGTTTGGGACGGAAAGTCAAGAAGGGCATGTCCTGGGGCCAGAGAGGAGGGACAACAATGGATGTCACTCAGACATCTGCCTCAGAGCTGAAACAAACGCGCCCGGTTCAGGTCATGGCTCACGTGGGTGCTCAGTAAAAGTTGGGGGAAACTGGAGGATAAAGACAGACGCCCCTGCTCTCCTACCCTGGCCCAGCCCTGGCAGCCAGTGGGAGAGTGGCTCAGCCAATCCACACCTTCTTCCTACTTCTTTACAAGTCAGTGACCCACAGCGCTAAAACTTGGAGTCAAAGAGGTTGGCAGTCACATCCATGCAGGAGAATTATTCTTCATGTGTGTCTATAACTTTATAGAATAAACTATCCCCTGATTTTGGAACTGGAAGGTGGAAGTTCAAGACCAGCTCTGCCACTTGCAGCTGCGGGGCCTTGGGCGGGTGCCTCTAGGGGCCTTAGCTCACTGCCCCGTGAACTGGGGATAATGGCAACCTCTGCCCCACCGAGTCATTGGGGGTAAAGGCATGAGGACACAGTGGTTGTAAAACTGTTTTGCCAATCACACCTTTAATAAAGGACACCCATTTCCAGGTTCTTCCAGGCCTCGTGGCCCCCAGGCCTGAGCGGGCGCACACAGGTGTACACTGTCCACGTGAGGAGCCGTCACCATGAATTGGGCCTCCCTGCAGGGCCTCCTGAGTGGGGTGAACAAGTACTCCACAGCGCTGGGCCGCATCTGGCTGTCCGTGGTGTTCATCTTCCGGGTGCTGGTGTTCGTGGTGGCGGCTGAGGACGTGTGGGACGACGAGCAGAAGGACTTCGTCTGCAACACCAAGCAGCCTGGCTGCCCCAACGTCTGCTATGATGAGTTCTTCCCCGTGTCCCATGTGCGCCTCTGGGCCCTGCAGCTCATCCTGGTCACGTGCCCTTCGCTGCTGGTGGTCATGCATGTGGCCTACCGTGAAGAGCGAGAGCGGAGGCACCGCAAGAAACATGGACCCAACGCCCAGGCCCTGTATGACAACCCAAACAAGAAGCGGGGCGGGCTCTGGTGGACATACCTCCTGACCCTCATCTTTAAGGCCGCTGTGGACTCTGGCTTTCTCTACGCCTTTCACGTCCTCTACCAGGGGCATTACGACATGCCCCGCGTGGTGGCCTGCTCCCAGGCACCCTGTCCCCACACGGTGGACTGCTTCATCTCCCGACCCACCGAGAAGAAGATCTTCACCTACTTTATGGTGGCCACCGCTGTGGTCTGCATCCTGCTCAACCTCAGTGAGGTCATCTACCTGGTGAGCAAGAGGTGCCTGGAGATTTTTAGCTCCAAGCGCCAGTGGTCTCGGCACCAGAGTCGCCTGCATGATTCGTGCCCACCGTATGCCCTCTCCCAGGCAGAGCACCCCCAGGATGGGAACTCTGTCCTAATGAAGGCCAGGTCGGCCTCGGTGGATACAGGTGGGTATCCATAACCTGTGAAGCTGGCAACTGGACCACCATGTCCCCCACCTGCTCCCCAAGGCCACGGCAGGGCAGTGGCACTTTCTGCAGCAGGGCATGTAAGGAAAGTGGTTCTGGGGCTCAGGAAGCCTATTTCGGGGCCAGTACTGGGGAACAGTTGTGTCTCAGGGTTCTGAGCCCCAGGGGAAGGTGGTTGAATGGCAAGGATTTTATACGTGGTAATAGGGTATGTCGAAAAACCTTAATAAATATGATTTTCTCAGTATTTTGCAGTCAAGGTGGCAAATGATGGGTAGGAAAGCAGGGGGTGTATGATGGACTGCTCTGGGCACCTGAGTCCTAGAACGTCAGATCTTGTTACACCCATTACACACCACACACACACACTCTCATACTCACATACACAGCGTGCCCCCAGGACGTGGTGGGGAATACCAAAAGGCAGAGGCCGTTCTAGGGGGTTTCTAGACTCTCTAACCAGCTGGCCAGGGCAGGAGAGGGACTCCGGGAGACTCGGTGCTCAGCATGTCTGTTCTCAGAGAATGCTGCTTAGGAAGCAACATGCTTAGGAGACCCCTGCCTCCCCTACCCAGGCCCTGGCCCTCTCTGACCCTGCCCAACAGAGTCAAAGGTGGGTGAATGCCCTCTGAGAGTGGGAGGCAAGGGCCCAGCGAAGGTGGGATGGTGCTGAGCACAAGTCCAAAGTGGCAAGGAGGCATGTCCCCACGGGCCAGGGACCTATGGAGAGTGCCCAGGGACTTGATGGGTCTTCAAGTTTCAGGAATTTTCCTTCTCTTTCCTAGATACACATCCCCTCATTCTCCCCCACCCCCACCCCACCACTCAGACCTTGGCAAGTCCCAAAATCGCACCTCCAGCCTGGACCTGCCTACGTCCCAGAGCCCCCACCAGCTGTCCATGGGACAACCCTCCAGGAGGCCCCCAGGCACCTCCCACTCAGCAGCCCCAAACCTGCCCTCCTCACAGATCACCCGCCACCCCATGAGTGGCACCGCCATCCACCCAGTTACCCACGCTGGGAGCTGGCCTGACATCCTCTTCTCCCAGCCCCTCACACCCCTCATCCCAGGGCAGCAGCAAATCCCACTGACCCCAGCCCCTCACATGCCTCCTAAGCCTGCCCCCCATTTCCACCCCACAGTCTTAACATCTCCTGGGCCCTCCCCTCTGCCCTCTACTATAAGCACAGGATGGTTTTTCTATATATGAATCTTACCACGTTGTTCCTTCTTTGTTAAAAATTCTTCTACCAGCACCACCCTCCATTGCCCAAACCTGGACCCCTATGACCTCCCTCCCCAATTTGACCTTCTGCTTCCTCCCTCCTTGTACCTACCAGAAATACTGAAGGGCTCGTGGTTCCCCAACCAGACACATCATGCTATGTTATGCCTTGTGCCTATAGACATGCTGTTCCCTCTGCCTGAAACACCCTTCCTCCCTCCTCCAGGGCCCTCCCTAGAACCCCAGGGACAACCTTAACCACCTTCTCCATGAGCCAGCCTTGCTCGTGCCTCTGTTATTCCCCCCAAACTGGAGTGGCTGTTTCTCCCCATCAGTCTGTGAGCACTTCAAGGTCAGGGCAGGACAGGGCAGGACAGGATAGGACACTGAGTCATCTGGGCCGGCTGCCTTTAATAAATGTTTGTTGACTGAGTAAATGGGCTGTGAATTGCTTGGCAGAGGGACTGGGTCATTGATCTGAACTGTCCAACACACCTAGCCCAAGAAGTTCAGCAAAGTAGGGTTTTTGTTTATTTGTTTGTTTGTTTGTCTGTTTTTAATTTTTTAAAAGATTTTATTTATTTATTTTTAGAGAGAGAGAAAGAGAGGGAGAGAAACATCAATGTGCGGACACCTCCCACAAACCTCCCACTGGGGCCCTGGCCCAAAACCCAGGCATGCTCCCCAACTGGGAATCGAACCAGCAACCCCTTGGTTTGCAGGCCAGCATTCAATTCATTGGGCCACACCAGCCAGGGCACAAAGTGTTTTCTCTTTGTTTGTAGGTATGTTTTGTTGCATTATTAACAAAATTCAGCCTAAAGGTCTTATTTATAGATGAGGAAACTTTGGCCTAAGAAGGGGAAGGGACCTTTTGAATCCACACAGATGGGCTGAGCCTGTGGGGGCTGTGTCCCCTGTGGTCTGTGGAGAGCCTCCATGTTCACCTCTGAGTATGGGACAAGATCAGAGAGTCACCCTGTCCATAGGGCCGCGTCCCTGGAAGCAGAGCCAGCAGCAGGAATGTGTGTGCATGTGAAGGAAGGAGCAAGGGAAGCAGGATAGGGGAGAGGCACAGCTGAACAGGGTGTAGGCTAAGAAAACTTGTCCTTGGCCTGAGCCCACAGGATGAGGGGCCTTTGGATCATAGACCCCCACCACAGAGTTGTCCCTCTGGACACAAGGGCATCAGGCTTTGAAATCCCACATCAGTCAATCACTGGTTTCAGGCCACCTGAAGAACAGGGCAGGCAGAAAGGAGTCGGTGGTTCCCACCCACTCAAGATCAATTCTCCAGGGGCAGCTGTAAGCTGTGAGTGAGTAACATTCACAGCAGCTGAGGAACGGGTGTCCCCCAGAAAAGGGGATGTGGGCCCAGCACCAATGCCATCTACTGAACTCCAGGAATCAAGGGCAACTCTGCCTCCAATCCTGGGGAACAACCAGTGGGGAACCAGATGACTCCACACTGTTCAGACCAAGGCAGCTCCCACGTGCGGGCCCGTGGACCAGCCAGAGTCAGCTCCCTCTGAGATCCTAGATTCCCCACTCCAGGGCAAGGGCATCTGGGGACCCAGCTACTCTCACGGCAGTCCTCTTCACGTGTACTGTCCCCAGAGGTCTTGAGCCTGAGCCACTGAGCACTGAGCACAGACGAAGACTGCGCACTGTGGCCAGCCTGAGGGCCCTGCAGGGAGCTGAATAACCCTCTAGGAAACATTTCCATTATCCCACTCTTATCTTCGGTCCTGCCCACACTCTCAAGACCCCCACCCTGCCCTCAGTACCACTCTCAGACCTTTGTACCTCCACCTTCTTGGAAACTCTTTGCTTAGCTTAGGCCTCTGCCATCTTCTGCCAGCCCACATTGCTGCCACCTACTTCTCATTCCTTAGAGACTTGAGCACGTGACTCAGAGTCTCCTGGTATTCTCAGGGCCACGGAGACCACCTGTGTGTCACTCTGTCCTTTTCATTCCATGCACTCCTATTCCTTCATGACCTCCTCCTCCACTCCATTTATCTTCCCACTCACAGGGCCACACCCTGGATTTCATCTTCACCCAGAACTGCTCCACTTCTAGAACCTTCCGATCGATGACTTCAAATTCACAAATATTTATTGTTCACTTTCATGTGATAAGCCCCCTACTAGATGCTGAGAGGATTCATCTGAGAAGAATCAGACACAGTCCCTGACTTCATGGAGCTTCCATTCCATGAAGAGAAAAGCTGCTAAACTCATGGTGTGCTGGGAAGCACAGGGGTGCTGGGAGAGGGGGAAGGTGGATCCAACACCAGGCATCCAGGAAAAGGTTCCCTGAGACTTCTTAAGCTGACACCTAGAAAAAAGAGGAGGATTTTGCCAAACAAAGTAGAGAGGGGACTCCGGGCAGAAGGGATAGCCCATGAAAGGCCTAGAAAGTGAGAGTAAACCAGGTGAGGGGTCAGGCTGAAGTAGACAGAGGCTAGGTCACACAGTGCTTTCTTTGTAAAGCCCTGTTAATGTTTTTGGACTTGATCCTAAGGACAATGCAAAGTCACTGGAGAGATTCAGCACAGAAGTGACGCAATGTAATTTGCAGTATCTGTGGTTAGCAGGGTTGTCTATTTGGAATCTGACACTAATAATCCAAGTGAGAAGCCATAGTAGCCTAAACTAGGGTGTGCACAGTGGGGATGGAAAGACATAGTTGGATTTAAGAAATGTTTGCAAGATATAATCAAAAAGACTGGTGAGTTGATTGGGTGTGGGGATCAGTTAGAGACAGGAAACAAAGACACCCAAGTTTCTGGCTCTGGGTGGTGGAGCATTTACCCAGGGGAGGAGCAGGTTTCAGACAGGGTTGAGTCTGAGACACAAATAAGCTATCCTCTCTATCTCCTCTCATTCATGGACCATCTCAGCACTCAGCTCCTTGTGTCTCTTTACTATTATGCTTATTATCATTCGTGATGCCTTCACATCCAACACCCTGACCTCTCAGGTCCTTGATTTCCTTGCTTCTAACAATCTTTTTCTCCACCCATTGAACTGACCCACATGAGTGCTCACACCCTACACCTTTTCTGCACCAAGAGCTGCATCATCTCCTATGTACCCAGCTCACTCACTCTGGTTCCCACTCTAGCAATCCTTCTGCCCTGTCTGCTGACCACCACTATTTCACCATCCATCACCACTTCACACTCTCCTTTCCATTCCCATCTTGGATTCCAGGGGCCCCCAGGTAAGTGCTGACTTGTAGATATCCTCCACTCCTTCACCTTGTGGTGCTTCTGTAATTACTCACCAGGCAGGACCCTAACTCTAAGTAAGCCCAAGCACCTGTTCCAGAGCACCTGGAGAATAATACAACAGGACAGAAAGATTTCAATGGAAACTTCTGACTACAAAGCTCAAGTGGGCACTCAGCACCTCTAAGAAGTTCTTAACTTTCCTAACACTTTAACACTATTCTCAAAGATGACTAGGTCATGCCTTTTCCTCTTTCCCTAGACCTCTGACATCTATTCTCCAAATCTTCCATTTTGGCTGACAGCCAGGCATTGTATGCTCCTGGGAAATAGAGGCAATAGGCAAGCACTAATTTATCCACCCCCACCAAGTCTGCCATCCTCCTGGCATGAGTGCCCGTTCACTCTGCCTTCCCCCCCGGTAACACGGATGAGGTGTCCCTCTCTGGGTGCATCCCCTCTGCTTGGATGCTGGGCCCCCCCACCTCTTGCTTGCTCTGGCCTGGGTTCCACAGT